CATTTACAGCGGTTGAAACATTGTATCTATTTGTTTCCATTTAGGATACAGATGTTTTTATTCGGAAATAAATAGATACAATGTTTAAACCGCTGTAAATGTGAAGGAACTGTCAGAGAACTGTCAGAAATAGCGGAGCTCTGCAGATACACTTTTTGCTGTACTGGAATTCTTCTTCTTTTCATTCTTCTTCTTCTTCTTCTTCTTCTTTTCATTCTTCTTTTCATTCTTCTTCTTCTTCTTTTCATTCTTCTTCTTCTTTTCATTCTTCTTTTCATTCTTCTTTTCATTCTTCTTCTTCTTCTTTTCATTCTTCTTTTCATTCTTCTTCTTTTTCATTCTTCTTTTCATTCTTCTCATTCTTCTTTTAATTCTTCTTTTCATTCTTCTTCTTCTTCTTTTCATTCTTCTTCTTCTTTTCATTCTTCTTTTCATTCTTCTTCTTTTCATTCTTCTTCTTCTTCTTTTCATTCTTCTTCTTCTTTTCATTCTTCCTCTTCTTCTTTTCATTCTTCTTTTCATTCTTCCTCTTCTTCTTTTCATTCTTCTTCTTCTTTTCATTCTTCTTTTCATTCTTCTTTTCATTCTTCTTCTTCTTCTTTTCATTCTTCTTTTCATTCTTCTTCTTTTCATTCTTCTTTTCATTCTTCTTTTTCATTCTTCTTCTTCTTTTCATTCTTCTTCTTTTCATTCTTCTCTTTTCATTCTTCTTTTCATTCTTCTTCTTCTTCTTTTCATTCTTCTTTTCATTCTTCTTCTTCTTCTTTTCATTCTTCTTTTCATTCTTCTTCTTCTTCTTTTTCATTCTTCTTTTCATTCTTCTTCTTTTCATTCTTCTTCTTCTTCTTTTCATTCTTCTTCTTCTTCTTCTTTTCATTCTTCTTCTTCTTTTCATTCTTCTTTTTCTATTCTTCTTCTTCTTCTTTTCATTCTTCTTCTTCTTCTTTTCATTCTTCTTTTCATTCTTCTTCTTCTTCTTCTTTTCATTCTTCTTCTTCTTCTTTTCATTCTTCTTTTCATTCTTCTTCTTCTTTTCATTCTTCTTTTCATTCTTCTTCTTCTTCTTTTCATTCTTCTTCTTCTTCTTTTCATTCTTTCTTTTCATTCTTCTTCTTCTTCTTTTCATTCTTCTTTTCATTCTTCTTCTTTTCATTCTTCTTCTTCTTCTTTTCATTTTTTTCATTCTTCTTCTTCTTCTTTTCATTCTTCTTCTTCTTTTCATTCTTCTTCTTCTTTATTCTTTTCATTCTTCTTTTCATTCTTCCTCTTCTTCTTTTCATTCTTCTTTTCATTCTTCCTCTTCTTCTTTTCATTCTTCTTCTTCTTTTCATTCTTCTTTTCATTCTTCTTCTTCTTTTCATTCTTCTTTTCATTCTTCTTCTTCTTCTTCTTTTCATTCTTCTTTTCATTCTTCTTCTTCTTCTTCTTTTCATTTCATTCTTCTTCTTTTCATTCTTCTTTTCATTCTTCTTTTCATTCTTCTTCTTTTCATTCTTCTTTTTCATTCTTCTTCTTCTTCTTTTCATTCTTCTTCTTTTCATTCTTCTTTTCATTCTTCTTCTTCTTCTTTTCATTCTTCTTCTTCTTCTTTTCATTCTTCTTTTCATTCTTCTTCTTCTTCTTCTTTTCATTCTTCTTTTCATTTCTTCTTCTTCTTCTTTTCATTCTTCTTCTTCTTCTTTTCATTCTTCTTCTTCTTCTTTTCATTCTTCTTCTTCTTCTTTTTTCATTCTTCTTTTCATTCTTCTTCTTCTTCTTTTCATTCTTCTTTTCATTCTTCTTCTTCTTCTTTCATTCTTCTTCTTCTTCTTCTTCTTTTCATTCTTCTTCTTCTTCTTCTTCTTTCATTCTTCTTCTTTTCATTCTTCTTCTTCTTCTTTTCATTCTTCTTCTTCTCATTCTTTTCATTCTTCTTCTTCTTTTCATTCTTCTTCTTTTCATTCTTCTTCTTCTTCTTTTCATTCTTCTTCTTCTCATTCTTCTTTTCATTCTTCTTCTTCTTTTCATTCTTCTTCTTCTTTTCATTCTTCTTTTCATTCTTTTCATTCTTCTTTTCATTCTTCTCATTCTTCTTTTTTCATTCTTCTTCTTCTTTTCATTCTTCTTCTTCTTCTCATTTTTCTTTTCATTTTTCTTCTTCTTCTTTTCATTCTTCTTTTCATTCTTCTTCTTCTTTTCATTCTTCTTCTTCTTCTTTTCATTCTTCTTTTCATTCTTCTTCTTCTTCTTTTCATTCTTCTTCTTCTTCTTTTCATTCTTCTTCTTTTCATTCTTCTTCTTCTTTTCATTCTTCTTTTCATTCTTCTTCTTCTTTTCATTCTTCTTTTCATTCTTCTTCTTTTCATTCTTCTTCTTCTTTTCATTCTTCTTTTCATTCTTCTTCTTCTTCTTTTCATTCTTCTTCTTCTTCTTTTCATTCTTCTTCTTCTTCTTTTCATTCTTCTTCTTCTTTTCTGTCTTCTTCTTTTCTGTCTTCTTCTTCTTCTTTTCATTCTTCTTCTTTTCATTCTTCTTCTTCTTCTTTTCATTCTTCTTCTTCTTTTCATTCTTCTCATTCTTCTTCTCATTCTTCTTTTCATTCTTCTTTTCATTCTTCTTCTCATTCTTCTTCTCATTTTTCTTTTCATTCTTCTTCTTCTTCTTTTCATTCTTCTTTTCATTCTTCTTCTTCTTTTCATTCTTCTTCTTTTCATTCTTCTTTTCATTCTTCTTCTTCTTCTTTGTCGTGCCCGTGACTGCCCAAATGAGTGAAGTGTGCGGTGATTCTAAGATCGACGGCACTCATCTGCATGTCATACTGACTGACAGTATTATTTCTCTTCCCCAGCAGACTCCAAGGGCATTTAAATTAAAGGTACAGTGTTCTACACTAATATAAAGGCTCTCTGAAGCCTAGAAACCCTTTTAATAAGTTAAATTCACGGCGAATAAATTCGCATCGAATCAAATTTCTCCCGCAAATTCGGCGAATCAGCCGAATCGAATTTTTGAATAATTCGCTCATCTCTAAATACGAGCATCAAAGCAGGAGGTATTGCCACATCCCCTTTACAGCCCAGACCTCACTCCAAGTGATTTCCACCTGTTTGGGTCCTTCAATGAGTTTCTCGGAGGTCAGTATTTCAGCACTGATGACAAAAGGGAAGCAGGCTGTCCTAGGATGGTTCAGGCGTACTGACAAATCTTTCAATGCCAAAGCTTTCCAGGCATTAGTTAAACACTGAGATAAGTGTATAAATGTAGCAGGGAAGTATGTTGAAAAATAAATGCAGTTTGCACTCCTTGTAATTTGTTCTTTTATTATATCAACTAAAAAGTCCTGGTTTGTCTTGAACGTCCCTCGTACATAACTGATACTGCATGGCTAAGCGGTAGTACCATGAAAGGTAGTATAACAAAAAATCCAGTGTGTCAATTGTAAACCCAGATTGAAAATTTACTAAAAGCCCCATATCAGCAAAGCAATGACCCCAATTGTTTTGCTGATATGGGACATTAGTTCATTTTTTCATTTGGATTTACAAATGGCATGCTGGCATTTTCATATTACATTCATAGTGGTCCCAGTAATGTATTGAAAGTGTAGAGTGTCAGATTTTTGTGCATTGAGGGCCTTATGTGCATGGGTGGTTTGAGGCTTCCAATGTAAATTGCAGGCATATTTCTATGCCAGGGTGATAGCTGCGGCGTATAGCCACCCATAGTAATGAATGTGCATGCACAGTAATTGCCTGTGGGAATATGTTGGGTATGCACAAATGTGTGCAAACACATGGAATGCTGCTCCTGCACATTCCCAGATTACAACCATGTACCCGTGTACAGCTAACACACAGCCATTCATTACTATGGGCGGCTGTACATTACAGTTGTCTCCTCTGGACTTGGAACACTTTTCTCCTAGGTGTACAGACATATGCCATGATATCTGTCTGTATGGGACTTGTCTGATAAACGGGTAATTAGGAAAACTGCACTTTGCTCTTAATCAAAGTAAATATTTAATGGCTTCAAGGAAAGAAGCCAAGCTCACTTATACATAAGTTGCCAATATATTAAATAACTAATATTGATTTACAAGGTTTGGTAGCCTGGAAGTGATATTCCTGGTCTACCTGACTGAAATTTACTTAACAATATTATTTTAAGGCTTGACATCAAACACTTAAAAGCGGTATTAAACCAAATACCAAAAATATAATGTATTGCAGCGTAACAATCATTAGATGAGGTGGCTGCATTCGGGTTTTTTTTAGGCTTTTTCCTTTCTATTTTCACCTGGTGATCTGACCAGTACCACACCTCCTCAGACACACCTGGGCAGCAGCATTGTCAGTTTGGGGGATGAGGGGTAGTTTTTAGATGTACTTGCAGATTGAGATACACCAACAAATTCAAACCAAACTCCAGGTCACACCTTTTTTAAGCAGTTATAGCAATAGTTTTTTTTTTTTCTTTTGGGACAAAGGTTTTACATAAATAAATAAGGTTGATCAATGTAAGCTCCCCTTTCATTGATAAATGGTTTGTTTCAACACACTCTAACTGCTACATCTGCAGGGCAGCTTGTTCTGTTGAAAAACAACAGACTTACTAGCCGGATAACTAGGTGAAAATAATAAAAAGGAAGCCTAAAAAGATAATTAATGCAGCAACCACATCTAAGATTTGGTTAGTTGCAACATAATAAATGTTTGTTTTGGCTATAACCACTTGATAACTGCGCTATAGTGAATGACGGCAACAGCGCGGTTACCCAGTTCTGGGAGGGCATCATATGACATCCTTCCAGAACGCACCCTCCTACGGACACAGCTGATCATGTGATGAAGTAAAAGGCCAATCACAGTGGTCTTTTACTATGTGATCAGCTGTGTCCAATGACACAGCAGATCACAGAGTAAATACGTTGTCACAGCGTGAGGAAAGTACTGCCGATAACCAGCAGCTTTCACAGAGGAGATTGATGCTGATGATCAGTGCCCTGCAGTGCCACCCAGCAGTGCCTCCCACCAGTGCCCAGCAGTGCTACCCATCAGTGCCGCCCATCAGTGCCACCCAGCAGTGCTGCCCATCAGTGCCCAGCAGTGCAATCAGTAGGTGCTGCCAGTCAGGGCTGTCGGTGCTGCCCATCAGTGCCACCTATCAGTGACCATCATTGCTGCACATCGGTGCCTCCTCATCAGTGCTGCCTATCTGTACCACCTCATCAGTGCTGCCTATCAGTGCCCATCAGTGCTGCCTAGCAGTGCAGCCTCATCAATGCACATCAGTGAAGGAGACAAATTACCTGTTTGCAAAATTTTATAATAAAAACACTTTAATTTCTTTCCACTTTTTTTGTTTATAGTGCAAAAAATAAAACACCCAGTGGTGATTAAATACCACCAAAAGAAAGCTCTGTGTGTTAAAAAAATGATAAAAATTTCACATGGGTACAGTGTTGCATGACCGCACAATTGTCATTCAAAGTGTGACAGCGCTGAAAGCTGAAAACTGGCCTGGGCAGGAAGGGGGTAGAAGTGCCCGGTAGGCAAGTGGTTAGTACTGCTTTAATTGTTTAATGGAACAAGTACCAAAATCAAGAAAGTTGGACTATCTTGAGGGTTGTCCTACCCCATAATTTAGTACAAACACTGATTATATATTATATCATATATTATATTATATTATATTACAGAATGTGTGCTTTTTTCAAATTCTGCATTTGTGATCCGAACACAGATGGTAAATGCAGTGTTTGACCAGAGAATGCTGCGTATGACCTGCTTTGCCTGCAGTTCAAGTGCACCTCAATAGGACATGCTGCACCCAAAGGAACACATACAATACAATACAAAGCAGATCAAATGCATCTTATATACTGACATGTGTACTGCTCAGTTTAAGGAATTGGGATTTTGCTGACTTGCATTTGACATGTGTTCCAAATGCATTTCAATCACAGGAAATCAATGCTCATCAACGTGAGCTCTTAAAATGTTTTATTCTTTAGTTTTCTCAGATAATTTGGGTGAACCATGCGGCACTTATAATGTAATCATACCGCATCAGCGGATGGCACCTAATGCCGGCCATACATGAGTCGAAATTCATCCGATTTTTTTTGTCCGAAAATTGGACCTAAGAATACTCGGCCGATTTTCGCTCTGTTAGTGGGTCAATGGCACCGGCCGATTTTCATGGTTCCGTCTCTCTTCAGTGATCGGGCATGTTGGAAAATTCGTGAAAAATGACTGAATGGTGGTCAAATCGTACGATCGTTTTTCCAAAAAGAATATGCTCATGAGCCGTGACCTGGAAGGAACAGAAGTTTCACCTGTTATATGGGGTGAACTTCATGACTTTGTCGGCCGAATTTTCAAAATCATTCATTGATGGCACCATTGGATTACCGAACGAACAACGTTTTTGAAATCGTTCGGAATTCGAACCATGTATGGCCTGCATAAGGGAACCTAAGTTAGATGCAGAATGTGACTGCTCATTTATATCAGAAGTGGCGTACCTAGTGTAAGTGACCTCCTGGGTGAATTGGCATCACAGTTCCCTTCCAGTCATAGTAGCCCTTTACAATATATAAGCATTGCTGTGTCCAGTGCGTTACAGAGTACAGAGCATTGCGTTGTCCAGTGCGTTACAGAGTATAGTGCATTGCTGTGTCCAGTGCGTTACAGAGTACAGAGCATTGCGTTGTCCAGTGCGTTACAGAGTACAGTGCATTGCTGTGTCCAGTGCGTTACAGAGTACAGAGCATTGCGTTGTCCAGTGCGTTACAGAGTACAGAGCATTGCGTTGTCCAGTGCGTTACAGAGTACAGTGCATTGCTGTGTCCAGTGCGTTACAGAGTACAGAGCATTGCGTTGTCCAGTGCGTTACAGAGTACAGAGCATTGCGTTGTCCAGTGCGTTACAGAGTACAGAGCATTGCGTTGTCCAGTGCGTTACAGAGTACAGAGCATTGCGGTGTCCAGTGCGTTACAGAGTACAGAGCATTGCGTTGTCCAGTGCGTTACAGAGTACAGTGCATTGCTGTGTCCAGTGCGTTACACAGTACAGAGCATTGCGTTGTCCAGTGCGTTACAGAGTACAGTCCAGTGCATTACAGAGTACAGAGCATTGCGGTGTCCAGTGCATTACAGAGTACAGAGCATTGCGGTGTCCAGTGCGTTACAGAGTACAGAGCATTGCGGTGTCCAGTGCGTTACAGAGTACAGAGCATTGCGGTGTCCAGTGCGTTACAGAGTACAGTGCATTGCGGTATCCAGTGCGTTACAGAGTACAGAGCATTGCAGTGTCCAGTGCATTAGTTTACAGTCAATTGCGGTGTCCAGTGCATTAGTTTACAGTGAATTGCAGTGTCCAGTGTGTTACAGAGTACAGAGCATTGCAGTGTCCAGTGCATTAGTTTACAGTCAATTGCGGTGTCCAGTGCATTAGTTTACAGTGAATTGCAGTGTCCAGTGTGTTACAGAGTACAGAGCATTGCAGTGTCCAGTGCATTACAGTGTATATTGCATTTTGGTGTCCAGTGCGTTAGTGTACGATATACGTTAGTATATGATAATGCTATGGTTTAAAGAAGAACTCCTGGATAGGCGAAAAACTAATTCACCCATTAGTACACACCCCTACACAAAACACCAAACAGTTAATACAATTCCTTACCATTTAGGAGAAAAGTCTAAATACATTTTCATGACCTCATCTCTGTAATCCAAAAGATAACAGCATCTTCTCTGCCAAGGAGGAGGTGTAACAGCAGAGATTACATCATATCTTTTCCTCTCCCTTTGCAGTAAAAGGAAGCTACAGTTCTCATCAACCACAGGGAATTGTAGTGAATGTGGCTGAGTACACTAGGCCTATACATGTTGAATATGTCTGAGAATCTCGGTCCGCCCGCCACTGCAAGTGGGGCTGAATTACATCACTGCTTCCTGGAGAAAGAACTACAGAAGGGATGTGCCAAGATCAATGGTTGGCGGCACAGGAGGCATAGCAGTCACTGGTCTTACAAACAGGAAACCAAAGAGAATGGTTTTAATTTGAAAATGAATAGGCTATTTCAGAGCAACTACCGAGTGACCCAGAAGATGGAGGTAGGAAATCAGTGAAGGTAGGAAATCAGCAACAAGGAGATGTAAAGAAGTTTTTGCCCAAAGGTCTGCTTTAAATGCCCAACCATGAGCATGGGAAATAAGACAGAATTTTTATAATGTTTTACATTATAAAGCAATATTATAAGATACAAGTTACATATTATTCGTTAACTTATGTGAATATTCACTTAGCAAATTAAAAATGTTCTACCATTATGTTTTAGAAAAGCTATATTAGCCACTTTGAGTCCATACACTTTTACCCCCATCCTGTCCAGGCCAATTTTCAGTACTTTCATTGTCAAGGTCCTACCTTTCCTCAGGGCTGTGCTGCTCCATGTGCTGGCATCCATCTTAGGTGTCTGCGAAGCATTGTGGGATCCTTGATGCTTTCAGCCCTCTGCGGCTCCTCCCCCAGGAGGTGGTGGCTTATCACATATAAAGCCTGCTGTTTGCAGCTGTCCATTGCATTCGTGTCCTGTCTCTTGCACAGCAACAAGCTCCTGTTTAGCTACTCTTTGCTTTCCTGGATACCGACTCGGCTTTGTCTAAGACTCCTTCTGGCTCCTGATCCCGGCTCTGGCGACGATTCTTCCTGGCTCCTGATCCCGGCTCTGGCGACGATTCTTCCTGGCTCTTGATCCTGGCTTTGGCTACGATTTCCGCTGTTGGACTTGCATAGACTCTTGTCTTATTTTTATATTAATAAACCTACCTTTAATTGCACCTCCTTGTGTGTCTGGCTCCTCGCTCCCTGACATTTCACACTTTGAATGACAATTGCACGGTCATGCAACACTGTACCCATATGAATTTTTTAGCATTTTTTGAGACAGATAAAGCTTTATTTTGGTGGTATTTATTCAGCACTGGGATTTTTATTTTTTTTTGCTATGTAAATGAAAATGTCTAAAAATTTTGATAAGTGTTTTTCTTATAAAATTTTGCAAATAAATAATATTTCATCATAAATCTTGGCCAAAATTTATTGTTATCTTTTTAGTAAAATAATAAAATAAATAAAATAAACAAATTAGTTAATTAACCAAAAATTATAATATTTAAACATTTTTACATTTTAAGTTTTATTTATATATTTATTTTTTTTTTTTACATACTGTCACCCTAGCAGTACAGTGTCACCATGGTGACCCTATACTACTTGTGGGGGGTGGTGAAGATTTTTTTTTTTTCTTTTTTTTTTTTACACTGGTTGCTTTTACACCCATAAAGGCTGTAAAAGCAATAATGTCTCCTTCTCGCTGACTGCATTCTTGCAGCCATTGAGAACTACTGTGTGAGCTGTGATTGGTCACAGCTTGTCACATGGTACAAGGCTGTTGTGAATAGTCTTGTACCATGTGACCTCTGTGATCATTCACAGATTTCACACGTAGTAAGCAATGATGTCAGACGTGATATCTTGCTTACTACTCTGCATGTGATCACTGATTGGCTCGCACAGAGGTCCCGTACGACGATCGATGTTCCACTGTGTCCGGAGGACACAGCGGGCACTGGATCGCGGTGCTGTGCGCTTCCAGGGAGCGCGCACAAGCAGGGGGTGGGGAGGCCATTTATAAACTGCCACCTGACCCTGCATTGCCACCGTCCGGCCGTTTATATACAACGGCCAGACAGGAAGTGGTTAATGTGCACTAGCTGACCAAACCGTATATATTGCTTTAAAAAAACTCCAAATGGGAAGGGAATGTGACAATATCAGCATATCCACAATCCTCCTTGCTCCTCTCCCTCAGATGCAATGGCCATGAAAGAATAAAAGGTAAAAACTCCAATGGTGCAGTACAAATGACACCTTTTATTAAATGAATGCAGACAGCCACTCACAACATAACTGATAAAAACACGCCTGTAGATAATATGTGTTGTAGTGTGATGGATTGCAAGCAGTGCTTTCACCACCGCCGGATCCCAAACAATGGCACTCTCACGTCACTTGCCACTAGATTTTTGAATACTTCAACACACTGATTTCCAGTTATGTGGGGGTTAAAAATGGACCTATTATGAAGACCACTATTAACACTAACTCCTGGTAGGGACGCTCTGCTGGCAACACTCCCAAGGTTAGTCAAAGTATTTTTTTAAATTTAATTGCCTGATATACTTATGTATGTCAATGTATGCACTGAATTTATCTATAGATTTTTTGGGGGCACATTTTAATCCTACATTAAGGATATGTAACTCGTTCTGTGTTAATGAGACTTTACTGATATTATATATACCTTCATTAGTTATTCTCTCCTTTGTTTTTTTTATGTTGGATCCTTCTTCCCGCTC